GGCAGTACTTTTGCTATATCCTGTGTGAAACGTGCAAGGTCTACTTCCCGCTCTGGATCGTATATGGCTGCCATTCCGGCACGTCCTTCCGTGTTTGGTATCGCAACACCATAAACAATTGTATCTTTATAGCTGGCAACATTACTCACTTGTGCCTCCACCTCACTAGTGGATACGTTCTCTCCCTTCCAACGAAATGTGTCGCCCGTGCGATCCATAAAGAAAAGGTAACCTCGTTCATCGGACGTCAACAAATCGCCCGAGAGGAATGCCATATCCCCCTTTTTGAATACGTCATGCGCAATTTTCTTTGTTGAAGCCCTCTCATCGGCATATCCGAGAAATTCCCGAGAAGGATTGCCTTTGATGATTTTGCCAATAAATACTCCACATTCGCCGGCTTCACAACGTTGACACAGTCCATCTTCGCCACGTATGGGCTCACCAGTATCCGGGTCAGCTTTTATTATAGAGATGGGATAAATTTGTGGTATAATACGGGAAATAAAACCAATGGCACCGACAGTATTGTCATTGTTCATAATATTGGCATTACCCTCTGTGGCACCGTAGAACTCGCCGACCTTGGGAATATTAAATCGTTCGACAAAACGAGGCCAAATTTGCGGCCGCAAGCCGTTGCCAAAGACCATACGAATTTTATGCTTGCGATCGTGCTCACATGGAGGTGTAGCCAGTATGTAACGTGCCATTTCCCCAATGTATTGCGCAATCTAGATATGTGTTGAAAAATAAATTAAGTGGAAATTAAAAAGGTTACATAAATATACATAATTAAAAATAAACTGAAAATACATCTTGCTCCTTAAGGGACCCCGAATTGAAAGATTCGCTGTCCTCTTAATACCTCAATGGGAGACTAAAGTAGTAACGACGGGAGCTTCAATATTCAAAAAATTAATTCCCAACAAGGAGTATCCTTAGTTACTTGAAGCTTCAAAAACGTCTCACATTCCTTTTATCTCATACCATAACATCGACCAACAAGCGGCCTATGACCGTTAGAAATTCAAGGCATTAATCGAAAAATAAAAAGAATCCGGGATTCTTGTCTAGGAGGTCCTGAGATCAAAGGATCACTGGTAGTTTTTCTACGACAATATTTTCCCCGGGACTTTTATAACATCGAAAAAAAATAACTGTTACTTTCGGTCCCTGTGTTAATAAAGTTATTTGATTTTCAGAGCTAGTGCCTGCAAAGGCGGAGATGGAAGTCTGGTAAGAATTTCGCAAAACTTACGTTGCTCCCTACAAGAACAAATTTGAAAGAACCGCTACGAGCTTTTAGAGGCCAAACGAGCTTTTAGACAATGCGAATTTGTGTCGTGGAAATTTTTCTATCTGACATCGGAAAGTGTAATAGGAGCAGCGAATCTAAATTACAGCGACACTACCATATTTATGACATAAAAATGAGAGACAAAAAACCTACTTTAAATTTATTATAGTTATTAAAAACGCAAAATTTTTCTTACCGTGCAATTAAATCGAACGCAGTCAGCAAAGTAACCAGATGCTGAGAACTTCTTTCGGATGGCGACGGTTGAGCCAAACAGCAACGCTTGTCCCATACTCATAACACCGCCAGCTGTGTGGTATAGTGGCAGAGGAGTATAATATATATCTTTATTCTTAAAATATAGTGCATAGTGAATACCAGCGGCAATAAATATGTATCTGGAAATAAGAAAAGCGTTTATGTATACATATGCTTGCTAGCTAGGCTAGGCTAGGTCGCGAGAAAGGTTTGTAATTAACCCTGGTTTCAAAGCTTATTTCGAATGAAAAGGAATATTTGAGTACTATTTGTATGATCATTATTGAATTACTAAATTTTTCAGTTTCTAACCGACTTAACTTTTGACTTATGCATTTTACCAAGATCCCTCTATGAGTCTCAATTTCTAAAAAAAGAAACGGATTTTATTTATTGTAGATATGTATATCTTATTGCGAGGAACGGCAGAGATTTTCATAATTGCAAAATATTTCCGAATTTAGCTACCACTCAAGTGTGGGTAATTACAAACTTTTTTCTTCTGAACAGCCATAACGGTAACCATAAGCCATAGCCATAACCGTAACGGTAACCACATTAACTATCATCGATTATAGGTACCATAACCACAAACAGCTGATTTTTCGTAGTCAACAATGTCGGTGTTGCCAGACGCGGA